CTCCTGGATTGAGAATGTACAATATGTCCATCTTTCTCTGAGAATGTTTCGCTAACAGTCGGTTTCCTAATACCGGTTTCCCTAACGAGTCTGAACAATTGTCTGCTATTACCTATTGCCGCTGCCTTTTCCATCTCTCTTGCTTTCGCTACCCACCACTGTTCGCGATCATTGCGTAGACTTCTTGTCAGCTTGCGCTTAAGCTGACTCCGCCCTTCGTTATGTTCAGATCCAGATGGAATGAGTTTTCGAACATCTATCAGTGCGGTAGATGCTGCTGAGATCCAGTGTTGCTCCCTAACCTTACGGTTTACCATACTAGCAGATATCACTGCCGTTTCCACAGCTTTTCGGATGTCATTCTATGCCACCTCGGGGTGGGCATCACATACACGGCTGCCTAACTGTTTTCCTAGTTGTTCCTGAAATATACTCTTAGCTTGACTATCATTAAACAGGACCCTAAGGGGTTTCTTTGCAGCATCTTTCCTACGTCCAGTAAGACGCAGACAGATACGCGCTCGCATTAGAGCATAATCTGAATCTAAGCATGTGCTCCAGAATGAAAGACGGTCTTCTATCGATCCCCTACATCGGTAGCTGATAGCGATGTGATTTATTTGGGTCCAACGTTGGGACGATTTAGAGGGTCGCCATGTTAAGAGATGTTTTTCCTGATGCTTAAAGTTAGTATTTGCAAGGAACAGGCGGTTATCTGAGCATAGCTGCAACAGACGGTCGTCATTATCTGTTCTTTGAGCCACGACAAGATAAGATTCACCTAGGTGTTTTTCCCTTTCGCTTAGTTTACCTACTTGAGCATTAAAGTCACCAGCCACTATTACTACATCAGAGCGTCTAGCTTTTCTGAGAAGGTCGGAAAGCTTTCTGTAAAATTCATCTTTTAAATCATCTGAGTTGCAGTCAGTGGGTGAATAGGCAGAGACGACGAAGAGGAAACGACGAGTGTCCTTATCTTTCCGAGTCCTTATTGTTCCGATCGGTCGGACAGTGCACAAACGACTGTCTACTGGGATCTAGTTCTGCCCTAGGACTCAATACTATAACTAAGCCGGCGAGTACACGAGAAGCAGCATCTGGGCTTCCAGATACACGAAGTGTCAATCGAGTTGATTCTTTGTTTTGACATGATGATGTCAAATGAACAAAGCTACTCGGATCCTGTATGCGTGTTTCGGAGACGCAGCACACATCGATGGCGCGAGATTCTAAAGTCCTGGCTAAGGAAGCCTGTTGTTCTATTTGGCACAGTGATCGTACATTAAAAGCTTGTAGCAAGCCCATTCAACTATTGTATTATTTATCTGCCCATTGTAATTCAGACACTTAATTCACTATGTTAATTTCTGTGTGTATGTGATTGAGCGCATGTCTGCACATCAATTCTTAATCTATTCTCCTATTGGTTGTAACATACAGATAATCAATAATTTATCCACACTTGATTGACACTCAAAAATATATATGGATTTTTAACTCACACTCTCTCTCTTGGTTTCACAGTGTGCTTGCTCGCTGTACGCTTGTGGATTTTATTTATCTTTAACAAAAAAATATCTCTACAATTGGTGTTCAGGCTTCTGAATAATCTAGAGTAAATCCATAATTCTACTAGGAGATTTAGCCTACCTAAAATACTCAGTTAACGGGGTATCATTTATTGGAGTCAGATATACAGGAAACTAGCCACAACAAGCTCCTACATGCAGTTTAGAGCGTGGTTTCAGGGCATTATGGTGATGATAAATCAGTTGATGAGGTTGTAAATCTTTATCGACTGAGATAGCTGGGCGACGTGTTATGTATGCCTGAACATCGATTACCACGATGCACAATGCTGACTAGTGTTGGAGACGGATGGAAGAAAGTTAGCGGAGGCCAAACCAAAACGTGACACCAGTGCTTGGAGTCACTAAAACCTCTAGTCCGAGTCATATTGGTAGATGCAGACTACTTGGTTGGGGTACGCGTGACTATCGTAACCAATAGTTGGAGACTCTGGGTGACATGGCTTAGAATCGATCACAATTGCATAGGTGTATACACTCTTTGTCTTCCCTTAAACTGTGAGATTAAAACCGCTTCATATCTTTCTTTCCATCAACTAATTCTTCTTGTACTATATCCCTATATGCAATCTTTATTTTATATATTACTACCAGTGAAGTAACTACTTCTATGAATTCGGTGATCATCTTGTTGTGCTAATGAGGTGTGGCAACTTGGACCGATGCATATATGTGCCTGGTCCTACGTTTGTAGCTGACTGAGAATAATCTCAAATAAAACGGATAAATGGAGGGACTATGAATTATGAAATTATACTAAGCTTGAGATCTAAAACGCGGTAAACAGTCAACAAGATTTGTGCAACCACAGACGATTTTGAGATATGTCACCTAATGTCTATAAATATATAGTGCGACTTTGTCATTGACATCAACCGATAAGTCCGTACTGCTTTGCAAAATTCACCCTAGAGGTAGTGAGTTTATGGATCGATATCATGTTTTAGTTTATTCACTAGCAAAATACATCAGGGTAGGTATTGGATGACAATGCAAAACATATATCCCAACCAACTTATTTAATAAAGTTTTACAGCCCCACGAACTGATTCTCACCGAATAATAATACTCCGTTTTTTTATCCATTCAGATATTTTATCAGCTACCAATATACAAAAGTTGACGAAACCAACAACAGTTTTAAAGTAATATCAGCCAGTCAGTCAGCTACAACGTAGGACCAGGCACATATATGCATCGGTCCAGGTTGTCATACCTCGTTAGCACAGCAAGATGAACACCGGATTCATGGGAGTGGTTAGGTTAAAGGTGGTAATATATAGGAGAAAGATTGCATATAAGGATACAGTACCGGAATATAGAATTAGTTCGTAGAAAGATATGAAGCGACTTTAATCTCTTAGTTTAAGGGAATACAGGGAGTGTATGCACCGACGCCATTGTGATCGATTCTGAGCCATGTCACCAAGAGTCTCCAACCATCGGTTATGAAAGTCACGCGGACCCCAACCAAGTAGTCTGCATCTACCAACATGGCTCAGACTAGAGGTTAGTGTCTTCAAGCACTGATGCCACGTTTTGGTTTGGCCGCCCCTAATTCTCTTCCAACCATCTCTAACACCCGTTAGCATTGCACGTCGTCGTAATCGGTGTTCAGGCATACGTAACACGTGGCCCAACCATCTCAGTCGATGAAGATTAACAACCTCATCAACTGATTTATCATCATCATAATTCCCTATTACCCTGCGTCTAACCTCACTATTACTTACCCGGTGATCCCAACAGACGCCAGTAATATTTATAAGGCATCTGTGGTCAAATACTAATAGCTTACAAGTGTCTTCTACTCTTAAAGGCCATGTTTCGCTGCCGTAAAGTAAGACAGAACGGACTGCCGCGCAGTATACTCGTCCTTTTATTGATAGACGGATATCTCGCCTTCGCCAAAGGTGACGTAAGTTGACAAAAGCCAGACGAGCTTCTCGAATCCCTGCTGAGATTTCGTCCGATACCAACCCATTAGGGCTGATCAGACTTCCAAGATAAGTGAAGTTGTCAACGCGTTCGACCACTTCACTCCCTATCCTTAGTTCAGGTGTTGACGCAGACCAGTCCTGAAGCAACAACTTGCATTTAGAGGGAGATAAGCGCATTCCAAACATTCTGGCATTGTAGCTTAGTGCTACCAAAAGACTCTGCATTTTATCAGTCTTCACCAAACAGGACTATATCATCTGCGTATTCTAAGTCGATAAGTGGACCTCCTGGAAGGAGATCAATACCCGAGAATTCAGTCGACGAGAATGTTATTTCCATCAGTAGGTCTATAATGAAGTTAAACAGAAGTGGAGAAAGTAGACAGCCTTGACGGACACCACTTGAGGTTGCAAAACTAGATGACAGTTCGCCATAAGCTCTAACTCGACTAGTAGTGTTCGAGTAAAGAGCCTTTATAAGGTTTATGTACTTCTGGGGTACGCCTTTCAATGACAGACACTGCCACAGAATCTCGCGGTCTACCGAGTCAAATGCTGCTTTTAAGTCAAGAAAGACCACCATCGTCGGACGCCGATAAGTATGCCTGTGTTCTAGAACCTGACGAATGGTGAATATGTGGTCGATGCAGCCACGACCAGGTCTGAAGCCAGCTTGGTTTTCTCGTGTTTGCAGTTCACGAGTCTTAGTTAAACGTCTGATTATTATTGAGGCTAGTATTTTAGATACCATATTTGTTAAACTAATCCCTCTGTGGTTGTCACAAGATGATTAAAGTAATATTCTCTGTTTGGAAGGAAAAAAGTGTATCTCGAAATTCGGACTCCGACTACTCGGAACCTTGGTTACTAGGCCTAAAGGTGCGATTTCTGGATACAATAAAATAATCCGAGCAATATATTAAATGAATGAATATGATCAATCAAAATAGAGCATTAAAAGGAGGTAACATCAATTTAGTATAGATGTAAATGTAACATATACTGTAAAATTTTTGTAATACAGTTTAACATGTTTAGATGTGTATATATTTATGTGAATAATTTGGCATCGATCTGTTTTCGTAATCTACGACCAGTTCGATACATAATGTCACCTCCTTATATTTTCTTTTAAAGTGCTGTTGCTGGATATCCGCAACAGACTATTCAATTTTCAATCCATTTAGTCTTTTTCAGAGTATCAATAAATTCCCGTATACTTGGATGAGCAGCATCAATAAGTTGACCTCCTCCACCCAATTGTCCGTTTTAAGGTCTTCCGCAACAGAGGGTAAATCAAATATATTTCATATCATTGAGAATATTATTTTCCCTTTCAGTGCTCAACTTTATTAATATGCGCCCTGATTAGTGTAGGCCAAAAACTATACATAAATAATAAACAGGACTGTCGTACAATAGTTAAGTTCAAACGATGGTATTTAATATTACTATGACATATATCGCTTACTTATAAAACCACGTGGCCCGTCTAACTTGACCTGGTGATTCGTCCCAGTAGACTGAACGACGTTCTCTTTTTGTTAAATGAACATCGTAACGACCTCCATCAACTTGAACAACAATTTCACGAGTTCCACTTGTTGCTTTCATATCTGATGTAGTATTGGTAATGGGAGAAGCTAGTGAATTTTCTGATGTGAACTGTGAATAACATGATCGGAAAAACTCAGTTTCAATTTGGTATGAATCATGACGTGAAAATGGCCACCAAACGGATATATTTTCGAAAGTTGTAGAATAGAACCAATGGGCTCCAACTGGATGATAAGTGGTTCCTGAAAAGAAGGCATTGGTAAGATAATAAAAATCAGATATATTTATGCAGGAACACTAGTTACTAAAATCTCTTGATGTAGATCATTTTAAGTTAAACATGGTTTTCGTCACCAATTGACATTACACAAGGTTCTAACGATAACTGAGTATTGGACAGTTGTTTTGCCCTAGTCTGTCACTCTGCAACAAGATGCGCCCATGAATCAACACAGAACCCATCTCAAAAAATTTCAGTCTCACTACAATTACGATACTACTGAGTCGGGACCCAGTAGTTTACACTTAACTACAATTGATTAGTGAGCAAATAATTCACATCCAACATAGTTGGTTACACAAGTAATGGTTTTTTGACCCTAATCACTACTTAAAATACTGTTACTAACTACTTGATTCTTTTCTGGATTACGTCATTACTCGGTAAACAATGAAATGAAGAAACGCTACTGGTTCATAGTTCTGTCGTTTTTTTTCTCGTAGAAAGTTAAAAACTAGGGAAGAGACATGCCTTAAGGGTTATTTTCAAACTTAAACCTTTGTGTGACCAATAAATGCCATGTAAAAAAGTCTAAAGGTTAGTTTAATGTAGTATAATAAACAATAATGGATAAACTGTGTATAAGCATATAGAAAATACGATATACATAAGAAATGTGAGGCTTAAGTTCAACAAAGATCGTTGATCTCCACTTTTATATTCAGTTACTCCGTGTCTTTGAAACTATTATGATAAAAACTTGTTTATTACCACATACTAAACGTGAGAGAATTGAAGGTAAGCTAACTTGGACTCAATATGTAATATTTTCAGGTTCTTATAAAACCTTCAATCTGTCCAGAGGAAAGACAATTTGTACTCAACATACAACTAGTGAACTATTATGTTAAGTTAATATTCAAATCTGCTTGTAGATCAATATTTTGCAGCATCAAAAACTTCGCTTGCTGTACTATACCCCCAATAATCAAATACAAGTTTGTGAATTCAACGATGAATGAAATCTTTAATGTGAGGGTTCGTGGTACCAATACAGCTCCTCGAACCTTCGACTCATTGATTGACAGCTTAATGAATAAAGTGTTCAAACAACAAACTATTAGAATGAATAAAGATCAAGTGATATGGATTGTTATGAAGAAATCAGATGAATTTAAGGTATGTTAAGATCTTTATAGGTCAGTTATACAGCTCCGATTTTGTGTCACTTATGGGTTAGTCATGTACACTTGGTAATTTCTTATACGTGTTGTTGTGTGATCAAGTAGTTAATGCACATTAATCAATCTGTTGTCTGGAGAAAAACTTTTCGACCTTGAATATGAGGATGATATTGTCTTACTGTGCGACGATACCCGAGCCATGTAATCCGCACTTAATCAGTTGGCAGTGTCCGTAGGTATGGCATGTGCTTTGCACCTTCTAAGAGCAAAGTACTTTTGCAAGAGTGGCAGGACCCTGATCCTGCACACCTTGGGTAGTGAGTGGATAGAAGTAGTCGAGAAGTTCGTGTATCTGGGTAGCTGTGTAAATTCTTTGATTAAAGAAACTCTTACTGGTTATATTTTTGCTAACTGAACTGTTTCTCCCATTATTAGCATTATTATTATTATCATTATTTCGATCTCATAAACTAATTTTTGTTCGTTGTTGTTCTTCATTTATCATATGCATTTTACATTCTCTATCTGTTCACAACCCCATTGTTATTGTACGGCGCATATGTATTTGGTGCCCCCTTGTACCAATATTTGTGTTCAAATAATTACTAATAATAATGATAAGTGTAACAACTGCCTCATTACTAGTGGGCTTTAACATTCACAAGGGAATTTTTAAAAATCTTGAAGTGCAGTACTACAAGTGTAGTGAACAGAACACCGATGGGGAACAGTCAAACGTATTTGACACGCAAATTACAGGACTTGTTAATAAAATCTAACAATCATAAAGTAAATGCTTAATTTGCAAAATGCCCATCAATTGTCTCAAAATAACTTAGACTTCATTGTTCTTGCATTTTGATACAAATTACATTCTGTTTCCATTCTTTACTGTTCGGTCCTCTTGTCTCTGCTGCCAGAGATTCTGTTCACGACTAACGTCATATACTACTTATGTCGATATAAGTAGCACACACGACAAAGGCATTAGCTAAATCATACTCGATAGCAGAGCTCTAGAAGTGAAAGCCATTACGAAACTCAGCAGCATCATAGATGAACGACGACAACCCGGTGAAGATGTCAAGACACAAATCGGAAAGGCAAGAGCAGCATTCCTGCAATTGGAGAATATCTCGAACTCAAAACACCCATCAGAATTTTTAATACTAACATTAGGACTGTTCTTTTGTATGGAGCTAAAACTTTCGAAACTACCACAACCATTACCGAAAGCGTAAAAGCATTCATAAATAGCTGTCTATCTACGATACTCCAGATCCATTGATCGACCAATATCGATAAAAAAAACCTACTTTGACAGAAAAAACCAGCTGTCAACAGAGGAAATTAGAAAAATATGATGGAAATGAATGGGACATACTTGGAGAGAATCATCGGATTATCACAATACAGGCCCTAACTTAAAATCTTTAAGGCAAAAGGAAAGGTAGCAGATCAAAGAATACATGGGGCCAGGAGTTAGAAGTAGACATCGACATCATGAATAAAACATGACAGCAAATAGAAAGCATAGCCCACAACAGGGTTGCTTGGAGACCCTTGGTCTGCAGCCTATAAGTCACATGAGGGATAAATCTGCTTAAGCAACTCATGAATGTGATAACAATTACAAAGCAATGTGTGATTACTTAATCGATCACGACATAGTAATTCCAATAAAGAACATGTGACAGGTTACAATATTGATTGTTATTATATTAGTACAAAAAATTGTAGTTAAACCTCGTCAAGTTTCCGGTGCGCCTAGATGAATTGATTATTAAATTGATATTGAATTTCGTTCCCTTTTGCTATACATTTATCGCTTCAACCTGCTGTACTAATGTGGCATGGCAACTTGGGTCAACGTACATCTGTATTATGTTCTGTGTTAATGATCCATGTCTGTTTAACCCAAAAATCTATTGTTGGCCTAGAGTAACTGAGGAAATTTCCTATCCAAGACGTTCACTAAGTTTGTTGTCATTAAAATTACCATACAGAAAACAAATTATATAAATGCTCGAATGAGGGTATAAAACACTTAATTTTCCTTACATCTTAGAATAATTAAGCACGTACAAAATAGCATGCTTCTGGACACACCAAATTAAGACAACTATGAACGCATGCATGAATTACCTATGTTCGGATAGTATTTATGAGAGTTCAACATAACTATTTTCAAAATATTCTAACTAGAAAGTACTGATTTTGAGCAACAATATCACTAGCCCTCATACTGTGTTTTAAAGTTTAGTACACAAGACCGTAGTAAGCAAATCAATTAAGTTACAGTTTAACTTTACGAAAATACAAATAAACTCACTCAATACGGAAGATGATATTGATGAGGTTGGATCAATATTCTGATTAGGACACTGTGTTTGTTGATCTGTCGTTTCCATGAGTACGGGAAGTTGTGCAGCTTGTATATTATTCTGTGGATTACTTGGGGGAAATGGAGGAAGTAATTGGTTTGGTCTAAAAGTTGAGGATGGCTTGATTGGAGAATTGAGAGGTATGTTGGTAATGCTGGTTGGAGTGCTAGATGAAAAAGTGTTTATATCCGGAGGTAAAACATAACGAGGTCGCTGATTTAACTTGACTGTTGTGGAAGCGATCGGTTTGAACTTGAGATAAAATATGAAAATGTTTAAAAGTGATTTTACTTAGAATTGTTACAAGTCAGTTAACTACTTAAAAAATAACCAAGATGAAGTGATATTTAGATAAATCAAGCTCTGAGCCGACCTACAAAGTAAACACTTTTATACTCCAAATCAAAATTCAAACAAAAATCAGGAGACTAAACGGACGGAATTCCAGTCGATATCCCTTGTGCTAACAATAAAGCCCATTTATGAGATGGGGGATAAGTAACAGATTCACAAATAAGCACTAAGAGACCTATTCCTCTAGGTATACACATGAGAACAACAACTTACAATTGAATTACGGTGAAATTTTCAAATACTTGAAAATGATTCGTTTAGACAATATCTTGTTTTCGAAAAAAGGCATTTATAAAATTACGGTAGGGTTTAAATAGATGCTTTCATCTTTAATCGATGAATGCCTCCGTTCACGATTCAGAATGTACTTTTATTTTAAAGCCACGATAACATGTAAACATTTTGGTAAGTAGTCACAACTTCTTAAACTGAGAAATCTAAATTTGTAGTATTTAATAATGACGGGTTTGAAATTCTAATAAAAATGTGCAGTTAGTGGAGACCAACAAATAACTCACAACAGAAGGACAACTCAAGCAATAAGATTGAATGATTAGCAATTTCCTAAACTACAGTATACCAAACGGTGAAAATAACACCTTTATTCTAGTAAAAAAGCTTAGTGTCAGATTTGTGTGGTTAGACGGCTCCGTAAGAACTCGGAAGGATAGGGATACACGTCGTTGCCTTTTCGTCGTTTCTGCCTACGCTCCCACTGACTGCAGCCCGGATAAAATGAAAGATGACTTTTACAGAAATCTTGCTGAACTTCTTCAAAAAGCTAGACGCTCAGACACAGTACTCGTATTAGGTGACTTTAATGCCCAGGGAGGTAGCTTAAACCAATCAGAAAGACATTTAGGTGGGTATTTCAACATTCTGGCTCAGCAAACAGATAACAGTGATCGTCTGCTGCAACTGTGCTCAGACGATCGTTTATTTTTAGCAAACACTAAGTTTAAGCATAAGGAGAGACATCGTCTAACATGGCGACCCCTGCATCAAACGATAGACTCAAATAGACCATATTGCCATCAGGCATCGTTGGAGAGGCTCGATAGAAGACTGTCGCTCGTTCTGGAATACATGTTTAGACTCCGATCATGCCCTAATACAAGCACGCATTTGCTTGCGCCTCACTGGACGCATAAAAACCACACTCAGAAAACCCATTAGAATTGAACTAAGTGACGGCAAAGTTGAAAGTAGATTCCAGGAACTAATGAGGCCACACATTGGTAATTCTGAAAACGAGGTTGATGTTGCTTAGAAAGATACACTAACAGCTGTGGAAACAGCAGTGACATCTATTAGTGATTTCAATCACACGGTCACGAAAAAGCAATGGATTTCTGCTACATCTAATGCACTGATTGACTCTTATAAACTTATCCCATCAGGCTCTAAACACGATGATGAGCGGAAACAAACCAAATCTAGGTTAACCAAAAGTTTAGGGAACGACCGTGAGCAGTGGCGAGCAACGAAAGCAAAAGAGATGGCTGCAGGTAACACCAGATAGATATTCAGACTAATAAAATAGACCGGGATTTAGAAGTCAAGTGTAAGTGAAACAATCGCCGAGAAAGACGACACTTATCTGTTCGCAGTCCAGACGTTTAGAACGATGGACGGAACACGTTAAAGAGCAGTTCAGCTGGTATTTAGCTACTCTACAGCTAGACACCATTTCCAAACAACCTGCCCCCAAATGCCCTGGTACGGCCGAGAGTGGGGAGAGTCCGCTCTCCCTCTCGAAATACTCTCACACGGCCACGCGTATATAGCCTCTGCCAGGGAAGTCCTACTCACTGCCTTCTCGTGGCGGGGGTGTTGTTTACAAAAATGAGAGGACGAAAAGCGAATGTCCGGCGCTTTAACCGGATTCCAAACCAATGGTGCACATGGGCTCCAGTATCCTGCGGGAACAAATGGCGAATGAACCAATTGTTGGTCACCGGCTTCCATGGGACTGCATCTCCTTACGATGCTCCACTGCCTTGTGGATCAGACCCTCAGGTCGAAGGCTCGGGGTGTGGCCCCCTAAGAAAACCACCTGCTTCGGTTTGGGCACCCGGGCAGTATCACAGCCCTCACACATATCGAATGAGATTTGTGTGGCGCATATGTATTTGGTGCCTCTTTGTACCATTATCTATGTGTTGAAATAAATAAATAAATAATAAACTCGAGTTGAAGTCCAAGTTATAGCTGTCAATTAAAGGACGAATATACTGCACGGCAGTTCGTTCACTTTTATTTTACGGCCACGAAACGTGACCATTAAGAAGAGAGGATACTCGTAAGTTACTAGTATTTGACCACAGATGTCTTGGAAATATTGCTCGTACCTGCTGGGATCACCGGGTAAGCAATAGTCAGGTTAGACGCAGGGTATTAGGGAATTATGATGATGATAAATCAGTTGATGAGGTTGTAAATCTTTATCGACTGAGATAGCTGGGCGACGTGTTATGTATGCCTGAACATCGATTACCACGATGCACAATGCTGACTAGTGTTGGAGACGGATGGAAGAAAGTTAGCGGAGGCCAAACCAAAACGTGACACCAGTGCTTGGAGTCACTAAAACCTCTAGTCCGAGTCATATTGGTAGATGCAGACTACTTGGTTGGGGTACGCGTGACTATCGTAACCAATAGTTGGAGACTCTGGGTGACATGGCTTAGAATCGATCACAATTGCATAGGTGTATACACTCTTTGTCTTCCCTTAAACTGTGAGATTAAAACCGCTTCATATCTTTCTTTCCATCAACTAATTCTTTCTTCCCGTACCATTTCCTTATATACAATCTCTCTTTCATAGTTATGTAACTACTTCTATGAATTCGGTGATCATCTTGTTGTGCTAATGAGGTGTTGCAACTTGGACCGATGCATATATGTGCCTGGTCCTACGTTGCAGCTGACTGACTAAATGAATGATGCTAGTGTGAACCTTCTATTAGGAGGAAAACGATATGGCACTGAACAAGTACAGAAAACTAGTGGATCTAGAATATTACAAGTTGCCAGTAGGATATTTTGAGATGTTTATGGTCAATAGGTTTAAGAAATCTAACCGTCGTATACTTTGGCTGCCGAGATTTCTGATAAATTAAGGATTAAAAATCTACGTGAACATCAGGACGTATTGACTTATGTAGTAGTTTTAGTTCCTTTGAATATTGAAACACTGTAATATACATCAATTAGTTACCAAAGTAAACCTACAGAGCAAGCTGAAGGCGTTGATACTTCCAAGATAAGAGTGTTTTTTGCAAGACTTGATCCAGAGTTGAGAGATTTCTCTTCACTTCCTGGTATAGATGTCTTTGTGTTTACTGGATTTTCTCCAATAAAAGACGATAATTCGTCAGCCCCATGAGAAATAAACGCTGGAAGAAGAATTGGTCCAGTTGGTATTGATGCCTGAGACAGATTTAGCGCCAAACCAGATAGGCTGGGATTGGAAATCGTTGAGTTAGACTGTCTTTCATGACTCATTCTAAGAGGTTGTTTGAACTCGATGTCAACGTTGTTAACACAGACTTTGCCCAGAGGAAATATGACTCCTATTCGTTAATAAATTTATGTCGGGCTTACAATATACTGTTATGATTATGTTAGGTGAGCGTCAAAGATGTTCATAAGCTTGGAGGCGGAAGTTCATTTAGCCAGAATTGAAATCTGAAAGATAAATAGTAAGAAAATCATTTCAAGGTGGGAGCGAACAGTCATAAACCAAAGAATATGTTTAAGACAATTTGATCACTGAAACCAATGAACTAAATTTGATAGCATAACTGTCGAGGTGCTGAACAAGATCATTTATATCTTCTACGTAAACAAGAGAGAAACGACCTAGTAACTAAGAAATACTGTTTTAAAATCCGTTCCATATGAATGATAAACATTGTGGGAGAAAACTGGGCCACAACTAAGAACGAAAATACTAACACAAAACTTATCAATATAATAAACTCCAGACGCAAGCGATTCGATCTCCGTCCTTGAACTTCATTAGAATGTCTTCTCAAATGATATTTTAGATGTTAATAAAAGATATAAATACCAACATCATCGCTTAGTATATAATAAGCCAGTATTAGACTACCCGTAACCGGTAATATCACGGAAATTGGTTAAGGTGTCTTAGTCTGTTTCTACAAGATAGGTCAGTGAGAACTTTCATTATTTTGGTTTCTCGACGTTGTTCTAGCAAATCCGCCTCATACTCGAAACAAGCACTCGCTGCTTGAAACCCATATTCAAAATGCTGCCTCATGCAAGTTGGGTAAAATACCATAAACATCTCTTCATTCAAGTAATGAAATGAACTACGAACCTTTCGGCACTACTTTCACAATCCTTAAGCAATCGTTTTTCATATGGGTATTTAGCCTTGATTATCAACGCCTTGCAAGCGTCCCTGTTCTTACAATACATGGATTTGTGATGTTCGGAGCCTGTAAAGATAAACATATTCCATTGCTTTTTCCTACGTCTAAGAAGTTTCTTGATCTGCTTTTTATCCATGGTAGGCAGTTATATGGTCTACGTGGTATTAAACACGGTATAAACTGGGACGTAACTAGGCTAAGCTTATTATTGAATGCAGGCCATGCTTCTTCCACTGATTACCTGGTGTTGACTGACCAGAGCACTCCTGAGTGACATTTTGCTCCCCACATATTTGGTCGAGGTTCAACCTGATCGTATATTACGTCGCTAGCTCTAGACGCGAATGACAGAAGAGTATGATCGCTATTAGCTAAAAGTGGAAGGACATTCAGACAGACAATAACCTCGGCCGCATAAGTGATTACTAAGCCTAAAAAAGATCTTTGGTTCGGACCAAAACGTGTGGGTTTGAATACATGCTGTACTAAAGCATGCTATATTACCGTCATCAGGAGCCTAATATCGAAAGTCTTCAGATCCTACAGCGGCTATCTCTGTTCAACTAATATCAAATGTATTAATCTAATATCAGGCATGTTATTCTCACTCTATGACTGAATGGGCTCTAAAATAAAGTCACCAGCCAAGCAGATCAGGAAACGATAAATGACACCGAGCATATATGTCCAATCTTCAAAAGCGAGTCCACACCTAGTGACTTCACAGGTTTCACTACCATGGTATTTACAAACAAAGGGATGAATGTTTATACTGTTATCTATTTATAAAAGGACTCCACCCTTCTTCTTACATCTATTCCTATCTCGATAATTTATTTCCTAAACTACGGGTATTTATACATAAGACTCCTACAGAGAACGACCTATCCATACAGGCCTTGATAGAATTCGTTTCCAAGACCTGACTACTCAAAAACCCAAGAAGAGATTTCCTTATTCACTTTGTCGACGCGTTCATAGTTCAGTTACTGCCGCCTTTCTTTCATTCTATCTTGTAAACACGTGTCAGATTTCACTCGGATCTCAGTATTGTCGTAACTTCGAGCACATGTTAACAAAAGATTCCGTTGTTTCTCTGACCCTAGGATAACCTTAAGGAGTCTGTATGGGCAGGATTGAACATTTTCGTCGATCCTCTTACCGATTCTTGTCAATTTTCTTATTCGATCTGATAAGATGCTACAAATAAATTTTTCGACCCTTACCAAGTTATGTAGATGTCCAGTTATTGGATTAGGGTCACTTGATTCTAGTAAATTACTCGCAATGACATTCGATCACATCAAGCTCTTTCCATGTTAGGTTTCAAGTAGTCTTACTTTGAAACATAGGCGATTTATCCTGCAACTCAGAATAGGAGCCTGCCAAAGACCTAAATAACAAATGTGGAAAACGGTTTTTCCTTTATATTCTTTGTTTCCGCACTGCTATCCACTTTTCATCACTCGAAGCAGGAACATAAGGACTACTCGGGACGGTGATGGGCTTATCCGGGTATTCTGGTACGACTTTAGAATCAAGACCACCAACATCCAGTAGTATTTCAATCCTTTTTTGTTCTAAAGATGTTCTTTCTCCATGTTCCGCAGATGGGTTTGACTCGTTTCGTAACAGTAGTACTACACTGACACATTCTCTGCTGTCAGTACCTATTTTACCGGTGCAGCCACTATAAACTTCCTTAATGATCGACGGCAGAGAGATCATCGCCTCCTGGATCATTATCGTCTCACTCGAACAGACAAACACGTAAAACCAATTGGAATTAATTTTCGAGCATCTTTTGTATGCGGTCGGTTCAAATAGGAACAGTTGTCACACTCATTACACTGCAAACACTTTTCCCACCACAGTGAAGAATTAATGCGCAAAGGAAAGTTAATTCACAACAAGTACGAAACCACTGCCAGTACTTTGGACGCGCACATGCGAAAAGTAGATAATCCGACGAGTTTTTAGGCGAAAGGTAGACAAATCAGCGACATTTGAAACACAGAGCAACAAGGGGAGAATCCGCACTAACCCCCCGGACAGAAGAAAAAGCAGACATGTTTGCGCGTTTCCCCTTTATTTTCCAACGCATTTTGGCCTTTATTGCCCCCTTATTGGTTGGTCAATCAACCAAACAATTGCGACCCCAAACACTACAACCTTTTCCTAAATAGTTAGAGATTCGTCACTTACCAAGACCTAAATACCACTGTAACTAATCACTTTTGAAATTATTATATTACACATAACCAGATTTGCTAGATCTGCAGAACTTTGGTAAAAATATACTTTATACTTAAAACATATTAAATCACATCCAGAATATGAGACCTAATCAAAAACAATAAATTTAATTTATCACTTAGGTTAATCGAAAGCATATAACAAAACGGAAGTGCGAACTAGAGATAACTAAATAACCCCAGAAACAATCACGAAGACTAATATTTGAAAAGTCACACATACTATAATTCCAAACCACGCTCCACCAATCTTGCGTGGAATTGGATCTTTAATCTTCCCAGTTTCAGTTCTGAAAGGACAGGAAGCTTGATGGTCTATGTTAGTCCTGGCAATGATGGTCTCTCAGTTGACCCAACTTTCGTTTGAAAAAGTCGACGGATGGAGCCTCAACCACGTACTGTGGTAATTAATTCCACTAGTTGATGATTCGATAAGAAAGTCGGTAGTCAGCTGACAAGTTATTTGTTCTGGGGTTGTAAACTTTTTTGGAGTTTCCTCGTAAATTCTGCTTTGGAATGCAAAAAAATGGGGGGATATCAGATGCAAATTTATCGCTAAGTAATTTGGTAACTTTAGTCAAGTCATCTCTAGTTCTTTGATATGACAACGGGAATATGTTTAGCTTGGTCAGTCGAGCATCATGCGAGGGCTTCACTATTCCGAGAATCAGCTTATTTGCTGTTCTACGAACCTTTTCCAAAAGTTCACTGCCTTTTTTAAGCAGGGGCTAGTCGCCTGTATGAAGTACTCAAGTTTAGGACTCACGAACACTGTATGCAAAGTCAAAAAAAGTTGTACCGTCAACATGACTAAAAGTCCTACGTACTGAATTTGAAGTTCTAAAGCCTTTAACGCCTACTGCATGACAGTGTGCAGTAGTCTTTAAGTCTTGGCTAACGATGACTCATAAGTCATTGTGTGTCTGAACAACAGGTAGCTCAGTGTTATTCATCGTGTATGTATCTGTATCTTGATGACCGATATGCATCTGAGCTATCACTCTCACTTCGTATCACTCACCGTATCTTGGCATCATCACCCATACTCTTTGTTAACGCCCAACTAGGAAGTCTTTTATCCACATCAATTATATTTCACTTCTAGGTGAGCGACCATGCTATTCTAGCACTTGATTTCCATTAAATCGGACGTTCACAGTGAAGGTTATCAGCTATCGCTAACTAAAACAGCGAATGTCTGTACAGTGAAAGTTATTGTGAGTATAAACGATATTGAAAACCTCCAGATACTATTGATATAGGGCTATTTGATCGTAACTACTAAGGCAGTTTCCTGTTACGAACCCGCCTCCCTGAAAAACTCGTTTTATCACACCATCTAAGTGAACCGAAGACATAAAATCACGTTCAGCAGCCTGAAAGTGTGACAGTACACGCTTACCTGCATAAATTTGGGCCTTTATCCTGTTACAAAATCACGCTGAATACTGAGTAGCATTTCAGGCATTTGTGCCAAGAGCCTCGCTTCAGATTTACAGCTCACACGGTTTATGAATTATTCCTAGATCTTGCGGTTTACACCCTTCACCGATTGTATACCTGAAGACGACAGACTTATATTTAAATCTATAGTAATTTGGCTCTCAAATTTTGTATATTAACGTGATATGAGTAGTTGAAATGATATAATTGAAACGACCGCAAAACCAACATTCGGCTTGAATACAGAACTAACGAACCAAACTTGATCCGTTTAGGCCAGACTGTGTTCTTCCGTATGTGTTACCAAGCGTTTTTGAAAGACCAGTATCAAATTATAACACAAGACATACTCTGCTTGCAATTTAAACGGCTCCACTTTGAAAAAAGAAGTAAAACGAGTGTCATTATCCAACACAAGAACATTTGGAACTCCCAAACAAGAGAATAACTGCCATAACTTCATAATAATCTCTTGTGAAGTGATTTAGTTCATGGGGAAAACCTCAAGCCACTTTGAGTGAGCACCGACACATACGAGGAAATATGTTCATTGGAATGGACCGGTAAAATCAATATGTATATGTGTAACGGGTTTTAAATCGTCATGTATGCTGTTGCTAATAGATTTTATATTCTTTCTATTGCAGGGCAACCAAGAATAAATGCTTTAGAAGAAGAGTAAGCCCTGCATGCAGGATGACTAATAAGAACGTTTTGTAAACTAGCCCTCCTTTCTGTACATAATCCGCGAGTTTTAATTTTCAAATAAACGACTGGTGGTCTCCATTCCATGTTCTCTCTGTGGTGTGAAGTGCTCAGTAAACATTGTGTGTGTTGTGGCTTTAGGTCTTTCTGCCTTCCAGTGACTGCTGATTACACGGGTTACACATGCGACCAAGGTGCTTTTGGAGATGTCGTTGTGATTCGGAAGGAAACATGAGAATTTGGTGTAAACATAACATTAGAGGAAGGTGCATAAAATTCCGAAATCTTATGAGAGAATACGTTTTTGGAAACATGTGGTTTGGAAATCTTATGAGAACATATTAAACCGGAGCTATTGAATTTAACATAAAATGAGAACACGTTTCATCGGAGGTATTCGATTCAGAAATATCAAGAAAACATGTTATATTGACAGCATTTAATCCAGAAATACAATAAGCAATTTGGATAAATTCCGAGGAAGGCTTCAGAGATCATACCTCATTTAATGAAGTACTCAAAATATCAATCTTCTCAATCCAGACGAATCCTTACTTAATTACTTTACTTACTCCTGTTACTCCCAAAGGGGCATAGGCCGCCGACCAGCATTCTCCAACCCACTTTGTCCTGGGCCTCCTTTCTAGTTCCATCCACTTCTTGTTCATTTTTCTCTTGTCTATTTCCATTTCCCGGCGTAATGTGTTCTTTGGTCTTCCTCTCCTCCCTTGTCCTTGAGGATTCCATGTGAGGGCTTGTCTTGTGACGCAGTTGGGTGCTTTCCTCAATGTGTGTCCTATCCACTTCCAGCGCTTCTTCCTGATTTCTTCCTCCGCTGGGACCTGGTTTGTTCTCTCCCACAGTACGTTGTTGCTAATAGTGTCCGGCCAACGGATCTGAAGTATTTTGCGTAGACATCTGTTAATAAACACTTGTATTTTCTGGATGATGGCTTTCGTAGTTCTCCAGGTTTCTGTCCCATACAGTAGAACTGTCTTGACATTTGTATTGAAAATCCTGACCTTGGTGTTGGTTGACAGTTGCTTTGAGTTTCAGATGTTCCTCAGTTGTAAATATGCTGCTCTTGCTTTGCCGATCTACGCCTTCACATCTGCATCAGATCCACCATGTTGATCAATGATGCTGCCCAGATATGTAAAGGTTTTTACATCTTCCAAATCTTCTCCGTCAATTGTGATTGGATCGGTGCATGCTGTGTTGTATCGGAGAACCTTGCTCTTCCCTTTGTGTATATTGAGACTTACTGCTGCTGAGGCTGATGCTACATTGTTCGTCTTATCCTGCAGTTGTTATTGCGTTTGGGATAGAAGGGCCAGATCATCTGCGAAGTCTAGATCGTCCAACTGCATCCTAGACGTCCACTGTATCCCGTGCTTCCCTATAGATGTTGACGTCCTCATGATCTAGTCGATCACCAGGAGAAGGAGAAAGAGTGAGAGTAAGCAACCTTGCCTGACACCGGTCTTAACCTCGAATGAGTCTGTCAATTGTCTTCCATGCACGATTTTGCACTGTAATCCATCATATGAACTCTGTATGATATTGACTGACTGTCTTCTGAGGTACACCGTAATATCGAAGAAGTTTCCATAGTGTTGTTCTGTCCACGCTGTCAAATGCCTTTTCGTAGTCAATGAAGTTGATGTAGAGTGATGAATTCCATTCAATTGATTGTTCCACAATGATCCGTAGAGTTGCGATTTGGTCTGTACACGATCTATCCTTACGGAATCCTGCCTATTGGTCACGATGTTGGGCGTCTACGCAGTCCTTCATCCTGTTTAACAATACCCTGTTAAAGACTTTTCCCGGTATTGAGAGAAGAGTGATGCCCCTGTAGTTATCACAGTTGCTGAGATCGCCTTTCTTCGGTATTTTGATCAGGAGTCCTTCTTTTTAGTTTGTTGGTACTTGTTTCTCATCCCAAATCTTATTGAAGAGAATGTGGAATATCCTTGAAGTTGCCGCTACGTCTGCTACCAGCGCCTCTGCTAGAATGTTGTCTGGTGCTGCTGCTTTGCCACTCTTGATTTGCTTGATGGCCATGCTTATCTCTTCAATTGTTGGTGGAACAACATTGATTTGGAGGTCTGTGGGTGCTGCTGAGATGTTGGGTGGGTTCAGTGGAGCTGGTCGATTCAAGAGTTCTTTGAAGTGTTCTACCCACCTGTTTCGTTGCTCTTCAATGTTGGTGATTACCTTGCCTTCCTTGCTTTTCACTGGTCGTTCTGGTTTGCGGCGATTTCCAGAGAGTTTCTTTGTTATGTCATACAGTTGTCTCATGTTCCCTTCTCTTGCAGCCTTTTCCGCCGTCATTGCTAGATCTTCCACGTATTTACGTTTGTCGGTTCTGATGTTCTTCTTCAATTGTTTGTTTACTACTGTGTATTCAGCTTGTTCCTTGTTTCTTGAATCTTATTCAGTGTATCAACAGTGATCCATTCCTTGTGATTGTGCTTCTTGTGACCCAGGACCTCATGACATGTTGAAGTGATTGCCTCTTTGGTCCCCTTCCAGTTGTTCTCCATGGTAGTTCCCTCTCCATTGAGTAGATCATGAAAGGCCTGGAACTTGTTGCTGAGGGCTAACTTGAATTTGTTGAGTTTTTCAGTATCCTGAAGAAAGACCGTATTGAACTTTTGTGATGTTGTCCGCCCCGTTGTCCAGTGCTTCTGGAGTTTCAGTTTCATCTTGGCGATCAGCTCCTCTCTTGGTTCTCACGTCCTCTATAGTCCTCCTGAACGTTTTGTTGATGCAAATATGGTCGATTTGGTTTTGCGTGGTGTGATCCGGTGAAGTCCATGTGGTTTTGTGAATGCGTTTATGTGGGAATATGGTTCCGTCTATGACCAGTTTATTGAAGACACATAGGTTTGCAAATCTCTCACCATTTTCGTTTCTTTCTCCCAGTCCATGTCGTCCCATGATGTCTTCATATCCAGTGTTGTCCGTTCCAACCTTGGCGTTGAAATCTCCCATCAGAATGGTCAGGTTCTTTGTTTGGCACTTCTCGACGATTGACTGCATCCTATTGTAGAATTGATCTTTAGCGTCTTCATTGTAATCGTTGGTAGGCGCATAGCATTGG